ATTTAAACTGGTCTTTGGTATTTGTGCCTTTTAGGCACATTTTCAAAGCGTTGCCTACAATGAAAGCATCTTGTGACATGAAGAATTTTAAACTCATTGCTCTGTATCTTTTCATATATTTGTCAGTTACCTTTTAGCCCTTCTACTTTCTCCCTCTGTGTAAGCTTCTCTTCAGGTTCAACTCCTCCCTGCTAAACTAAGGTTAGGCTGAAAATGAGCATGCAAAATACTGACCAACGGCTAACTTGCATACTAGTATTGTAAACATGCATGGTTTGCATATGAGGGTACTATTGGGTATCTGGGTATAATGCATATCTGGATACTACTGCATATCTGGACAGGCCTGGAAATTGTCTCCTACAGAGAAGAAAAAATCATTTTTCTAGGTGTAAAATACATCAGCCCTAAACACTGAGGCTTATGGAACACAACTAAGTAGTACCTATCTCCTTGAAAGTACAAATAGAAATCTATGTCTAAGTTATAAATGGGCCTGGCAGAGATCTACTAATCATTTCTATATGCCTGCTGCTGGTAAAGAAGGGACAACTGGCACCAGCATCAACTGCTTCAGCCCTTCACTGGTACTGACTTCACAAAAAAATCAGGAAGTCTCTCATATTACTTACTGTATGTTTTTCTCTCTAAATTAGTTTGCATTAGACAAAATCATAATGAACAGCAGATTAAAAAAGAAACTGTTAACAAAAGCAACATTCCGAAACTTTTTTTTTAAGGAAAAATTAAAACTATGTTTAATTCTTTAGACATTTCACTAACTCATCTTGAAAGAAAACAAAGGGGGAAAGTGGAGAGTAGGAAACAAAAATGTAACCCAGATTTCAGAAGCAAGAAAGCAATCCATAGAAGAACTATTGGTGGCAATTATTAAATGTCATTATAGACATCAGACCAAATCGAATGACAAGGGGTCACATTCAGTGGTGCATTCGCTGTTGTGATATATGAACCAATACTGTAATGATGGTATTCTCTTGTGAGAAAAGCAATGCAAGTATTTAAATACTCTAAATTTTATAGAAACTTGCAAATGAAGTATCAAAAGTTTCTCCCTTTCTACCAGATGAATCTTAAATACACATATCAAAAGATTTTATCTCAGAATAACCAAAACAAAGTTTCAGTAAATCTGCAAAAAAAAAAAATTACGTTGTAAAATTTAAGTTGCAGGTTTTAATCTAATCCGATCTCAATTTGTAACTACTCTTGATTCCCCAGATGCATTTTCAACTAATGAATATTTTTTGGAGATATGTCACCCTACTCTAGACCTGTCAACTGCAATTTAGAGGTAAATTAAATCAAATATTTTACCGGCAGAATTTGAATATGATTATGCTCTATCACCATCTCAACATGATCTGGTCAGGAAAAGTTTCCAAAGATATTGCTGAAATAAATCACTGTGGCTCAGGAAAAACTAGCCTGAAAAAAAATAATTTACTTTTGTGCAGAAATTATGTCAGTTATTGGGTCAGAATTTCACTGCAACATTTGCAGGTTTCTCTGTATATTTCTTGCACCTGTGTGTTAGATGCCTAATTTGACAGCCTTTTACAAAGCCATCAATAATCTAAGCTCCCAGCTCCTTAGTCCAGAACTGGTCAGCCATCACAAATCCCCAGTAAATCTGCTGAGCACTTCCTGAGGCTTCAAACAAGAGTGGAAGTGTAAGGACTAGAAAGTGCTATCCAAGGTCAGGCATTCTTCCCTGGTTTCAACAGGCCAAGTAACCAAGTACCAAAAAAAAAACCCCAAAAAGCTCTAAAGAAATTTTTCCTCAAGACTTGACTTTAAAAGATAAGCCTATTTAACAGGTAACTAAAGTATTCCTACATGGTTATGACAAGCAATCTACAAAAATATATGCTAGGAATAAGATTTTCTATTACATTCTGCAGTATGGCCTGAAAACTTTATATAAAAAAAGTAATTCTCCCTTATAAAATTCCCCAGAAGCTCTCCATAAAAGAGAGCAAAATCTCTGAGACGAGCGTGGCCAGAGAGGTAACACCAAAGCAAACCTGCTCCCTGCTAAATCTCCTGCTGTTTCCCCCCCTAGAGCAGAGTACTGGGCACAACTGTCTGTCTCTACATCGCATGCTGAAGTTTGAGGCCAGTGCCAGAACTGCTCTTGCTTTTTTCTGCAATCCATCCGTCTGAGCAATAATCCTCTCGCATGCTCAGTGTTAATGCTGGTTAAACCTCAGAAGTTTTAGAAATGTCCTTCACGGAAGTATTCAAGAATGCAAAGGTTTATCTGAACAACAGCCAACATACATCTTGGTCCAGATACCACAGAATTTGGCCAGGGTGGAAATACTGAGGGAGCAATCTCTTGGACACTATTTCAATGCTTTTCTTTAGGAAAGAAAACATGAAAAAGCAGAGGTGCATGGAATATTTCCAGATCCCATTTGTAATCAGAACTATGACACTTGTCATGTATCAGTTATTTCTCACTACTCACTGCCTGTCCTTTTTTAAAGAGATTAAAGTCAACAGGAGTAATTATAGGAAGGTTACCCAAGTGCTGCTACACAGAGAACAACTGAATGGTACATTAAGCTTAGAGTAAGATCATTAAAAGACAAAGATAAAAAACCTATTGCATATAAAATACAAGAGTAATTACATAGAAGGATTTTACATTGGAAATAAGAAAATTAAAAATGATGGGGAAGAAATTCAATAAATGAGTGCCTCTAAAAGAGAACATGCATTCTTGTCTTTGATGCTTTGAGTAGTAAATATCCAATGTGGAGCAAGGTATTAACCAGACGTTAATAAACAGAAAATCTAAGATAACAGAGCATTCCTAGCCTGAAATATTTCTGAGTTTGTACCTTTACAACCTTTCCACATTTGTAGCTTATACCATGCCAACAGCTCTGTAGTTGAGTGCAAACACCACCACTAAAACCTAGTTTTTAAATGTTGATACTATAAACACACCAACCACTCCCTGCCTATAGATCACAGCGGTATCACTGTGCTTTATATGAGCCACTACACTAGCAGCAAATGAACTATATATGATGTAATAAGCTGATGGCCTGAGGCCACAGGCATAATCGTGGCTTGCTGGCTTTAACTTTATATTCTCTTGTTTATTGATTTGAACTGAAGGAAGCATAGAACAGAGGAGATAATAGCTATGATGGTGTTTACTATTTAAACGAGGATTTAGAGGTCTTTAAAATATGGATAATTGACCTTATTGAGGGTTTATTATTGTCTCCTATATATAGACCTTTGTTCTTCAAGGTCTGTATGCAATGACCTGAGTCTACCACTTGAAGTACTTCCTAGGCACTTACTCCTCAGTAGATATATAACATGATAAACCATAATGACTCCTAAGAAAACATCTCAATTTTTTGAGATGTCTCAAAACATGAGAGCCTGCAAAGAACCTTTGGAGTCTTCTGCAATGTCCTGTGGTAAATGTGGCTGTCACACTGGCACTTTCAGCCCACAAAGCTAAAAATATTTTGGAGCATTGTTGTTGGAACAGTGTACAATAACCACCTTGCTGGAGGGAGAAATGTCTACACTTTCAAGAGGCCTTTCTGTTTAAGGTGCTCGCCAATCATGCTAGAGTATAGATGTCATAAGGTAATGGTTCAAAAGGTATCAGCTAGCAAAATCAAGTAGTTACAAAAAAGTCATAGAATCATAAAATCAGCTAGGTTGGAAAAAACCTTTAAGATCATCAAGCCCAACCTTTACCCCAGGACTGCCAAGTCCACCACTAAACCATGTCATTAAGGGCCTCATCTACACAGTTTTTGAACAATTCCAAGGATGGTGACTCCACCACTGCCCTGGGCAGCCTGTTGCAATGCTGATCACCCTCTCTGTGAAGAAATTTTTCCTAATATCAGTCTACATGAAGATAAACAACAACACTGGCCCTAAAAAGCAGAAACCCTCTAGAAACACATAACTTAAAAATACCAAATAGTTTTCTTGTTTATTTGCTTTGTAAAATTGAAGTAAATGCAGCAAAACCCACAAAAAATACCCCCAAAAGAATTAAAACCAAACCAAAACACAAAACACCAACTTGTATTCTAGTGCATCACAACTGAGCAACATTTATTTTTCTTGAAAGGAAAATAAATCATAAACCCAATGAATAGGTATTTAAGATAGAAATACTTGTAAGTCCTTCAGCATTCATAGCTGTGATCATGCATAAGAAGGTACTATGGCCAGATCTACCTCATTTATTCAAGTGTCTTTATCCTATAATAACATTCAAGAAGAGTAAACAGACTCTTGAAGAGTCAAATAAATTCCTTTCTTATTTCATCCACATTTGGAGTCATTTCATGTACAAGTACACAGAAAGGAAACTCCAGTAACAGAACTATTTGCAGCAGAGCAGAAAGCAACCATTAGATTTCTTTTTTTAACTTTGTACACATGATGGGGCTGGGGTTACTGTAAACTGTTTTGTCTTGGGCAGAATGAAGAGTCCAGCTGAGATAAGCTTTTGGAAAACTTTTATGCGGACCATATATTTGGATGTGCAACTACATTCCTCCCTCTTGTAACAACTCACCTACTCCCCAATGATGTTCTGTCACCAGGAAGTATACGGAGGAAATAACATTATTGAGTTGCTTAAGTGTAAATTGATTTGGGGTTTATAAAAGTTACACCACAGGTGCTGATGGCACATCAGTGAGAGAATACTGGGCTCAGGTCTGGTTGCAGACAGAGTGCTCATGGTGGGACAAGGCTGCACACAGTTCCACACCAAACTCTGAAATTGTCTTTTCCTGTAACTTTACACTCCGCACATTATTATAAACTCCACTCTCCCCTCTGCGTATATGCCTTTCTCTGTGTGAAACTGTTGTATTATGTGTGCAATCTGATTTCTTCATAGCCCTCTAAGGTAGATCTCCAAGTCTGCAGCTGACTTTTGCCAAACCCCAGGAAAATAATTGCCGCATGGCACTTACCTCTCCTTCTCTGGGCCACGGCCTTCCATTCTGTGTATATTTGCTTTGATTCTGGCGCTTCTTTTGCCCTCCATCAGCAAATTTGCACAGCAAAGGCTCAGTGGGGGCTGTGAAGACAAGAAACCCAGTCTGTATTAGCATCCCCCCCAAAGAAAGTGATTATACCAGCAACAGTAGTGCTTTGTAAAACTGATCTTTTGAAGTAAAGTCTTGCCTTCTGCAGATATTTTTTGCCTCTTTTAGCCTTGACTCCACTGGCAGCTGTTCTTATTAACTAAGCTTCAAAAAATATATACTGGCAGCCCTTAAAAGAATTTAGCAAATATTGTTGAAAAAATAATCAGCCTACGCAGAATGTTAAGTTGCTGTAGTGGAATAGTAGAGTCAGGCATTAGTTCCAGCTAAGTTAGACACGTATTCATGACCAGCATTAGTGCAAGGATAAACACTACTTCGCTAAAGAAGCTTACTGTTTTTATTGTAAAAACTTTGCAAGAATCTGTGTAAGGAATAAGTGTTCACACTATTTCTGTGTTTCTCGAGACCCAATCCCTTAAAATCCGAATAAACAGAATAAAATAGAGACATTTGCCAAGCACAGTCCAGTTAGCTTTCTTTTCCTCTTAACTCCTCTTTTAAGCAAGTTGGCAGCTCAGAAAACCCCTTTCCTCTCCAACTGAGATCTGGTGTATGAATACAATAGTCAGAGGGCATGAAGCTTTGGGAAGAAAGGATATTCACAGAGATGCACACCCCGAAAGGCAGCCAACAACAGGGCCCCCTGGTGAAGAAATTGCCCCACATGAAATGGGTACAACAGGAAGGGAACTCTGTGTCCTGGGATCTTTTTCCATCTACCTAGCTTTTAACAGCGTCCTCAAATATTTTTCAGCCAAAACTGTAATTAACTTGCTGGTGGGAGCTTGTCTTTGCTGTTTCCTTCTTAAAAGAGGGGCCAAATTCTACCCACTTTATTAATTGCATGAAAGGATTGTCCTTTACTGCCTACATCAACAGAGAAGCAAACCAATATTGGCTTGGTTGAAAGAAATCTAAAAATGATGTGTCGTATCTGAAACTTTTCAGTAATTTTTGGGTTCCCAGGCATGACAAGTATGGGCTTTAATTAATTAACCAGGTGTTTTGATGGAAAAAAAGCAAGAAGTCTGTTTTTTCTTCCTCATTTTCTATTTCTGTGAGGCTAAAAATGTTGAAAGAATTAAAGTGGAGGGACATGAAGGAAATGTTGCTGTAGGGGGCGTTAGCCAAGTTGCTGACTTCCTTATTTATAATAAAAGCTATGATTTGGTTAAAGGATAAATTCATATAATATTAAAACAAGCTCATCTCCCCCAACTTCTTACTCACGGCAAGCTCAAATTGGGTCAGAAAGTGTAAATTAAAATTTTGATCACTTGAAAACTGCCACCAAGGAACGATGTATATAGAGAATCTCACATCAAAACCACAATTTCTCATTGGGACAGCATCACTTTGGCCACTTCTGAAGATTTAACAGCTTTGTTTTTTTCATTACCATTTTACCAGGCTAGTAATTTCCAAGGTCACTAGAAACTGAACTGCAGGGAACAATCCATTATTGGCAGAAACCTCAACTGTGTGACCCCAGTGGTCTTTCCCCACCTCTGAGTTCGATTATTGTATCAGATTTTGGTAGAAGCAATGCTCAGCCAACCGTTTTAAATTTAAAATAATGAAGGTTTAAAAGCATCCAGGTGGCTGTGGAGATTCTTTCTGCAGATGGAGAGATTTTACAGGGCTGAGTGCCCTGCACTTCCACCAGTTTTACTCCACAGTGCGATGTTGCATGATTTCAGAGTGGTTACTTACAATTCACTTTGAGGTGACTGTGAGGGAGGAGCAGGTGCTAAGCCAGCGTTAAAGAAAGACTTATTAAACATCACATCTGAAGCTTCAAAAGCTTTTTGTTTTAAGCACTGAACAACTACCAAGCAACATACAATACCATCAGAAGCATGTAAAAACAATCTGCACATTGGATATTTACACATGCCATGATCATCTGCTAATGTACACATGTGGTATTAGCCCATGTACTATGATGTGGTTGAGAAAGCTAGGAAATCGTATGGTTTAGTACATATCCTCTCTGTATATTAGGCAACCACAAATAGGAAGTTGTTGCCATTTCTGAAATTCCCAATATTCAGCATTACCATCTGACAAACTCTTATTTGTTAACTTAACCACTACCACCTAGAAAAAATGCAAAAAGTATTGTACAGACTTTTCAGGAGGCAGGGGAGAAGATAGAAAAGGACAACAGTACCATAACCTTCACAGGCAAGTTTCTACACGGGAGGCTATATTCCTCTACAGCAAACTGAGGGGAATCCTGGGAGAAAAGTCGATCTGTGCCGATCAGTATTAACAAAAGTAAAAGGATCGAAAGAGCATGTTCTGACAGGAAGACAAGAGTCTAGATAAGATGATTCTGGGCTTTGGTATCTTTCATTTATTTAGTTAGTTACTTTTTCCACCACAATCCCCCCCACAACCAACACAGACATTTACCGTATTACATCTGGCAGGACAGAAAATTATCTTAATTATCTCTGAAGTGGTGTAAGGCCTTAATGGTTTACAGCTGGAAACAACTATGGTAACCAACCTCAAACTATAAAGAAATCAAATTAATAATCTTAATAATCTCTCTTCTTTCGGGACATATGGTAGAGTGTAAGAGTCTTATGTGTTCAAGCATATTGTTCTAAGTACACAGAAAACCTCAAATCTCCGGTTTACTTCAGCCCTCTTGAAATCGTCTCTAAGAAAGGTTCTCTAGGCTTTGCAAGATGAGATGCACATGAGTATTTGACATTGGCACCATGAGTCTTACTAATTACATACATAACAACAGAAGACACTGGAAAGAGCATATCCTAGTGCACTATGTTAGCAAAACTATTTCTAAGTAGAATTCTTTCTTAATGGTTTCATGAAATGTCAGAAGTGCTTTAAAAATAATAAATGAACTTTCGGCAAGAAAAAACCCCCATCGCAATTAGGTATTATGGTTATCAATTTAAAAGGAAAATATTTAGGAACTATTCAAGCAATAACAACATTACATGAATAATCTCAAGGGATTGCAGCAGAAGTGGGATATTTTACCCCCAAATACTTCAGAAGAGGAGGAAGGGAAAAGGGAATATTTTAAACTTTTTCTGTTGTTGCTCTCTTCCATTTCATACAGACACTCTTCAATTTATGGACTGAATTTTCACTCTTCTCCTTTTCCTCTGTATAAACACACTGACTGAAAATAAATGCTTGTGTCCCTGCCTCTTCCCTCACCTTTTATACTGCTGACTTAATAGAAAATGCAATTTGGATATCTGTAGATGTTCATATTTTGAAGAGATAAGCACATCTTTTTGTATGGTTCATGACATCCTCAAAGTTTTAAGCATGTGTGGTATTTTGAAGCCTATCTGGAAAATCTACTGTTGCTATTTTCCTGTCAGAAAAGGGAGAATTGATTCACTTGAGACAAATTTCAGCCTATTCCATCCTGATAAACTCTTCAAGATAGAAGGCACTGATCTTTCTTTGACTTCTACCTGACAGTAACAAATATAAATATCAAGAATAAATAACAGCTTTAACCTGAACAAGGTTCATTAAGCCATTACCCATTTTTCAAGAAGATTTAAATGCTTGCTGTAGTTCCCATCTAAAGCCTCCTCTAGTTAATAAGACATAAATAGCCCTGAACTTGGCTTTCAGTCCTGAGAAGGAAGTGGGATCAAATTGATAGTGCTTCTAAACAGCATTTGCCAAGTTATTCAGGGCTGCTGTAGGAGAGGGCAGTAGTTGCTAGTGTTCAAATTCTGTTTCCATGGAAGTCAATGGCTAAAACCCTATCTCTCTTCAGTCAGGCCCTGAATTTACTCGAAGAGTTCAGTGGAGGTGAAAGAGAGAGACTGGTTTTGTGTCAATCAAGCCTGTCGATATTGTTGAAGTTCCCTTAGGAGATCAACTTCTCATGCTCCACTACTTCAGATGGACAGACTGTGCAGACAGACAGCACTGAACTGCCAAAAGGCTGTTAATATCACAAAAGCAACACTGGTGTTTAAAATAGGACAAAACCTTTAGATGGAAGGAGATGGGGATAACAGTGCCCCCTTCTCAGATCTGGCAGCCTCTTAGAAATGTTCCATCTCAGGAAAGCAACTTCAATTAAATTGGTGAGTTCAACAGAAAAAGCAAAATTCTAACTAGTGCTGAATATATAATTTCCTTATTCTCTCATTCATCGGAAGGCAGATACACTTGAGCTTCTACATATGCAAAAATGTATATATTCATGAGCATGTGCTTCATAAAGGAAGATGAAAGCTGTCACTTGCATTCAGTGAATCTTTTTCATTATTTCAGGTGCTCTGAAACTTTTTCTATCTTAAGAGTTACTGAGAAAAGCTTGTCCTCCGCAACTTCCGATTCAGTAATATAGCATCATCTGTCCAGCAATGGCAAGAATTACATATTTAAAAAAGCAATAACAAGAATCTATTTATGTATTTTAACTGCTTTCACTATGAATAATTTTGAAGATAGAACATTTTTCAGCATGTCAGGAAGAGTTAATCTCTTTTTCTCATCTTGTACAAGAACGAAAATAACATTTTCAGTAGACAGCCTGGCAACAAGTGCATTGTGGGTCCTTAAACACCTTCATTTGGTTAATGTGAAGAAAAATGATGAGAAAGTCACTGGTATATTAATGAATGGTCAGTGCATAGTCAATAATCTTTTTCAAAGTATGTTTTTATGAGAAACTTGGATTAATTTATTTTTCAGCCTTGGCAAATTCTCCTCCATGATAAAAAATGGGGCAGAGCAATAACTAAGTTCACAATTACAGCAAGCATCCAAACTGATCAAGCTTTGATAACTACTTTTCTTAACTCCATTCCCAATTTTAAGTATTTTGATAACATTTTAATGTACAAATTACATAGAATATGTGATTGAAACATCCATGCCAGAACCAACCCCCTTGTTTGCCTCAGATCAATCATTTTTAGTCTTTAGAAAAACTTCATCCTATGGTAACATC